CAGCAGGCATGTACAAGATGGTTTCTGTGCCCCACTTTCATCATCTTGATCACTTCTGGGCACAATTTAGCTTCAGGATTTCCCAAAATGAAAACATTTGCTCCTCCTAGTCAAAACTACACTGTTTCTTCAGTAGCATTTTCTTAACTCTAATCTGATGTCTTCCTTTTTTTTTTTTTTAAATTGAGACAGCTATTCCCCAGCTGTTTGATTGTCTCAGAGGTTTCCAAACCCTTTGTTCCCTGGGCGTGTCTTTAGTGCCACCCCCCATGTGCTAGTTGCTGCTCTCTGCTCTGTGCTGGCACAGCTGAATATGCAGCTGTGCGACGAACTGATCCAACTGAAAAATAACCCAGCAGAAAAAAGTGATGCAATTGCCCCACAATGTGAAACCTCTGACTCAGGTTTTGCCAGAGGAGTTTGAGTTGTCATGTAGGCTTTAGGATGCTGGCAGCATTGTGAATCCAGCTGGGACTCCACTGTATATACCTGTGCACTTTGCTACTGCATTCCTTGTGAGGGCTGGGATTTTTACCGAAATTATTGTCCTGCTCGTCTTGGAGGAAACTGATGCTACATTAGTTGTTAGAGATTTTTAATATTTTTTTTTTTTTTTTTTTTTTTTTTCCCTATAAGGAGTACAAAGTGTAGACTGTGATCTCTAAGGTTTGGGTTCTAGTTGAATGCTGATCAGTGAGCTCATGGACTCTGACATCACCTGTGCATTCCTTGGGGGGTCTTTTTATCTGTTTTGTAGAAGGGTCATATATATTGGCAGTGTTGCAGCCTGTGACTTGGAGGACAGCTTGCAGTTGCACAAGTGGAGACACGCTTTTGTCATTTGGCTCCTTGAATTGCTGTTCTCTAAGCAAAATTGCTGGAAGTAGAAAATGCAATTAATGAATGATTTGGGAAAAACATGCAATTATTGAGTTACTAAAGCACAATAAATACTGCACTAAAATAATTCTTATTGTACTCAAGTGGTGATCACATTTTTTAGGTACTATGTCAGAACATTTTTAATAATACTTTGTAGATAGTGACTGCATTGTCAAAAGCACTAATACAAAAGCACTGTAAGAAATTTATAATCTAGTATTAATTAGTCCAAGAGAATTTTTAGCAATTATTAGGCTAAAATTTAAAAGAAAACTGGAAAAAAACCAACCAACCAAAAAAAAAAAAAACCCACAATGTTTATTGAGGTGCTCATTTCTGAATGAACCCAGCCTAAACCCAATATTTAAACACTTTGATTGTTAATGTAGAAAGTTGTTTGGGAGAACAACTCCCAGATTCAACAATGTGCTTCCTGTTCCTTTATACTTAGAATTCCATCTCTGTAGAGGATTTCTCTGTAGTGGTTAATGCCTTAGTCTTTTAGGACTTTGCAGGAGAGTGCTGTCATGAGGAAGCATTTCGGTGTGCTGCGTTCTGAAGTATGGAGTAGCAGGAGTCACCTTACAAAATTCAAGAGAGCGCTTCACAGCGTAGGTGAAATTGTGCTGGTTGCTGCTGGGCTCTTTTACTAATGAGTCCTGAAGAACTAGAGTGGATTTTAAGGAGCACAGCAATCTGAATCATTTGAGGAAGGGATGACTGTTTAAAATAAGTCTGATATTTAGGTTTGAGTTTTGTTTCTTTTAATTATTATTTAGTTGTTTGTTAATAACTGGCAGCATTGGGTTGCTTCTATCTAGAGCTGTTTATTTCATCTTCAGGATGCTGATGTTAAACTTTGAGCAGTTTAATTTCAGGTGGTTCAAACCCTCATATGAAATTCCTATGGAAAGAAATAATGTTATCTTAAGCTTAGATTGTTAAAATATTCTTTATAAATAGTATGTTTGTGGTGCAGAGGTTAGCCATAGAAAACTGTTACTGTATAATATAGCTGGACCATGTTTTTTGACTGGTTGTCTGAAAGTATTAATTTCGGGGAGTGTTCTAAATAAATACGTAATAGTTAAAACTTACTTTGTGGAATATTCTCCTTGAAGGATTTTTGAGCTTTATGTAATTCCATTGTATTCCTTCACTGATAATCCTTAATATTTTAAGACCTTTCATAGAGTTTGTTGTCTAAAAGATTTCTGTAACCGATTAATTGTCAGACTTGTATATGCCTTGCACAAAAGACTAAGAAGTACTAAATGTGTAACTCATATTTGGACGTGATCATGGGACAGTGGACTGTCCAGCTGGGAACAACCCCCGTTCCCTCAGATGTTCCTCATAAGACCTGTGCTCTAGACCTTTCACCAGCTTCATTGCCCTTCTTTGGACATGCTCCATCACCTCAATGTCCTTCTTGTAGTGCGTGACTCAAAACTGAACACAGTATTTGAGGTGTGGCCTCACCAGTGCTGAGTACGGGGAGATGATCATTTCCCTAGTCCAGCTGGCCACACTATTTCTGATACAAGCCAGGATGCTGTTGGCCTTCTTGGCCACACTGCTGGCTCCCAAGCTTGTGTTTCCTGGGGTTGTTGTGACCCAAGTTGCAGGACCTGACATGTGGGCTTGTTGAACCTTATACCATTGGCCTTGGCCCATCTATCCAACCTGTCCAGATACCTCTGTAGAGCCTCTCTACCCTCAGGCAGATCAACACCCCCAGCCAACCTGGTGTCATCTGCAGACTTACTGAGGGTGCTCTTGATCTCCTCATCTGGATCACTGATAAAGATACTAAACAGAGCTGGCCCCAGTACTGAGACCTGGGTTACACCACTTGTGGCCAGTCACCAAGATTTAATTCCATTCCCCACCACTTTATGGGCCTGGCCAGCCAGCCAGTTCTTTACTCAGCAGAGTCAATTTCCAGGGATCCAACCTTGGAATTCCCTCACCTTTTGATGCCTGTAATATTATGGCCCAGCAGTGTTCATCTTGCTAGGTTAACACACTACTGTGGATAAAACTTGCACTATGTAATAAGCTGTTTCCTTAACCTACATATGTCTCGTAGGTGTTTAATGAGGATTTATTTTACCTGGAAGCATTGGCAAATTTAAAGCAATGCGTGGACCCTCTGCTTGCTTCCCTTGTGCAGCTCTTCGGCTGATTCTCTATCTTACTATTTGTTTTCATATCAGATAAGCACTAAGAAATGTTAGTGCTTGTTTAAAAATTAATGTTAAAAGAAAAGAACTCTGAGTTGTTTTAAAGTTCTCTTTTCAGGAGTGTGTAATCAAATTAATGTTTGCTCTTAACTTTTTCAGGTTCAGCAAGCTAAAATTCTGTTAGTACATTTGGCCTTGCAAGGTGCCACTAGATGGTGTCAGTATCTAGTTCACTTTTTTCTTACTCAAGCACTAAAATACTCAAACTGTTCCATATTTGCGTCACTTTCAAAGACCTCTTAAATTTTCAGGTATTGTAAAGTTGGTTTGTCAGAGCAGATCATAAAAGCCATCCTTCTGTGGCTGTGATTTGATGTGTTAAGAGTGACAGGTAGGTGGATGCCATCCAGTCTATACATTCTGCTCCCCAGTCTCACCATACTTGTTTGTTTAGGTTATATATTTAGACTCTAGTTATGAAGATAGACTGTCTATTGTATCACTGAAAAAATTGTGTATTTATATAAAGTTTTACTGTTTTCTTATGAAAGTAAGTAGATTTTAAAAAATAACATTCTGAAACCACATACATGGTAATTATGTAAAATCTCTTTTGTATTCTCTATGCGAAATGAAGGAGTCTTAAACAGGGGCAGGTAAGAAACCAGTATCATACCTGTCCTGCTCCTGAGATGTCCCCATGACCCTAGTCTTGGTAAGAGAAGAAGACAAACTCTTAGGCAGGGGTCAGAAAATAAAGGCTGTTATTATTAAAGTCACTATAGATAATGCTAAGTGTGTAGTTCTGGGTGGCTGTAAAAAAACCTGTAAGAAGAGGAAATCATTAGACTGTGAATGTATGAATTCATTGAGGGTCAGCTCTGCACTAGGTGCCAGAGGCTTAAAGGCAGATTCCAAAGCGAGCCTGAGCTGAGAAGATAGCTTACTGCTCAGTAGTTTTAATTCTTTGGGTGGAAATATGGTGGTTTCTTTTCAGAGCTGTATAAGTAAAATTTTCTTTTATTCTCATCAAGTGGTATAGCTGATGGTGGTGCATCTGCAAAGCTACATATATATCTTTGGGACACACAGCACCCGTAACCCCTATCCACCACCCTCAATATTCAGGGTAGGATGGCAAATGCCACTCAGTAGGTCATGTGGTTTCCAAGAGTCTGATGATAAGGATTACCTGTTAGGCAAATAATGTAGATTGCCAGGTTTTGAAGAAGGATGTTCATAGGAAGAGTGTATACTGGTACAGTGAGTAATGAAACACTAGGTAGAAGCATGGAGATAGGTAACTATGAGCACCTGCTTTAGAAATTCTTGAGTCACCTCTCCATTATTGGTTTAGATATCTGAATGTGGTCTCTCAGCTTTGTGCTTTTAAGAGAGTTTTCTGTGATTTATTAGATAATTTTATGAACGTAATTAATACTGAATCAAGAAGCATTGTCCTGCTGTTGACAGTCAGTCCTATTCTTTCTGAGTCCAGACATGCATTTTCTAGGACTATTCTGCATGCTGAAAAAAGAAGCTTCTATGTACTTGGCCTCCAACAATTCCATATACTTAAGAATTTCAATAGCAAACTTGTAGATTGGAAAAGGTCAGTAATAACCTCCTAGTCAGAAGATTATCTGTGGAATTCTACTGTGCCTAGGTGTGATATTTCATTATGTTTAAAAAAGGACATCTTAATGAAAATAGGGTAATTTACTTGTATGTATATAAATGAGTTGACCCTATGTTGAAAGAGGAGCACTAGTTCTTAGAATTTTTTTCTGACAAAAATTGTCTAACCTTAGAACGACCAGCTTTGCACAAAAAATGAAGGTTCAAATGATGTTGCAGCTTTTAGTGTTGGGTTTGTTTGGTTTTGCTTTTTAATACTACTAATGCAATGTGTGACAGAAGTGAGTTTCTTATCATTTTTTCATCAATCAGGTTGTATCCTATAACTAGAATCATAGCACTGATGAAGTATAGCCTGTTTCACATAGGCACTTGTATAAAATTTTTATTACTCAGCAGATTCCCTTGCTGTTTTTTTTCTTCTTAATCTAGAGTAAGGTTTGTCATTTGAGCAGCCTGAGCTAATTATTTCTTCTCCTCTTGTGTTCTTATATTAAATTCTCCTTATCACAACCCACATGGTTTTGCCTGTTTCTCCCTATTCTCCTTTCCATCCCATGGGGAGGGGAATGTGTGTGTGTGTGCGTGAGCATCCATGTGGTGCTCAGCACCCAGCTGGGTCTAAACCGTGACAGAGAATTACAGAATATGACTGAAATATGCTTAGTCATAACATTCTTAAACTAACATTAAAGAGTAATCATATCTTTCAGTTTGAACCATATTTTTCGGCAGGATTGGGGTGAGGGGATGTTGTATCTTTAAGTTGTAGAAGACTTAGCCTATTTGACTAGATTTTTAAGTGATTTTATTTGCCTAAGTTGCGTGTGAACATGTGCACATACTGCATGTTGATAGTGTAAGGGTGATGAGTGTTCTGGTTTTTTTTCTACTCTGGGCATCTAAATAAATCACAGTTTAGAGCACCAAAATTAGAAGCTGTCTTCTCAAGCAGTTCCAGTGGTGAGGGACACCTTATGGCATGACTTGGCAGGTATCAATTAGGCATTAGAAAATACAAGGTTCTGAGTCTCTGTGAGCAGATGAGTGCAAAGATGTATTTTTAAGAAGAGAAAGCTCTCTCTGTCTTGTCATTGGGTGTATGTTGTTCTTATTTTACTGAAACATGAAGACTTTTGTTAAGTTAAGGAAATGGGTATGCAAGACAGGCATTGGAGCATGATAAAATTTAGGCACATAGTTTGTGCATGTTGCTTGCAGGAAAGGAACCTGCACATAAAGTACATACTGTTCTTCGCACTCTTAATCTGTTTAGTAGTTTTGTAGTTTTTTCAAAGCAGAGGCTGTCTTCTTACGTTGTTTGGAAAATGCATATGTGTAGGAACCATTCTTGTATCTTAAGAAGCAAACACTGGAAAATTCAAAATCTTGCTGTTAACTGCAGTGAAGCATTATTTAAAATTCTTCATTTTTGGATGATGCTTATTGCAACGTTCTTGTAAGAATGTAAGAAAGCCTCTTCGTGTTCCAGTCTGATGTTGCTTGTTAGCCAAAGAGCAAGATGAATCAACCAGAATTTTTAGTGGAGAAGAGGCGTGCAGCAATGGTAATTGGAGAAATTCATTGCTATGTAGAACTAACATTCTACTGAACAGAGCTGTCCTTAGCGCTGTTTTCCAGGTTAGTCTTAGATGTTGAATAAAATGTAAGCTTTCTTTTTTTTTTTTCCCCTTGCTTCTGTTCCTCTAGTTATTGAATGAAAGGTTATGTGAAATTGATTTTTCTTTGTATGTCCCTCTGCACCAGTTCTTTAGAAATTATAGGACATTAGGGAGCATGGTAAATGAACTACATGATTAAATTTTTAAATCTTACAACTTACAACAGCTTTGTCCAGGATGAAAATCCCAAAATTTCAAATGATTTCTTTGTTTTAGGTTTTCTTTAAAATGCTGCTTGATTTACGTTTGCAAGATTAATAATAAATAGCCTTTTGGATTGATATTTCAGAAACCAAAATGATAATCTTAAGGAATGCATTACTCACAACAGTGTACTTACTGTGGCAGTGTTACTTATATTAAACCATTTATTATTTTAATGCTGTGTATTCTGACCCTTAAGGTTTTCTATTTTTTTCTTCAAAGAAAATGCAACAAAAGAAATTCAACATTCATTTTTCTTTCTTACAGCATTATCTGCATACCAGAGGTACTACAGTTTACAATCTGACTACTGGAAGGTCTGTATCTGCACTTTTTTTTTAATCATATTGTTGTAAACAATTGAATTTTTGAAATAGATTAATTTCAATATTATTTTGGAGTATGTACCTGCAATTAATGGAAATGCTCACCTATATGTACAATTTATTGTAAATCTAAGTGGAACTAAATCTTCACACCGTTTGTTGAAATGACAGCTCAAGTAATTTGACACATCTTAGATTTTATTATTATTATCCATTACTTTAATTATCCATTACATAAGTTTTTCTTACGTAAGCATGGATATTTGGATACATATGAGTTTTGAGAGAATCATAACCACTTGAAAGCTGCTGGGCAGGATTTGGACTTGGACTAGGAAAAATGTTCTCAGGTTGCTTTTTATTTCCATAGATGCCCAATTGTTTCAAGTCCCTTTCAGTATTTAGGTCACATTCTTTGCGTAAGACAGGAAAAAATCCGGTTAGTATAGCTGCCCTTGCCTTATCAGTTAGTCCATATAGAAGTATCTTTAAATTAATACATTTTTTTAAATTCTTATAGTGATATTGTAAAAAATAGTTATCGTTGTTATATTGTTACATGAAATAAATTGAAGCTTGTGATTGAGATAGAGGTGCAAGAGAGCACAGTAGATACTTTTGTGATCTCCAGCAACTGTTTTCATTAAAGGTGTGCATAAGTGTACATTTCAAACAGGGAAGGCTCACTCTGGAAATACATCAATGCCATGTATATATCAGCATTAGAGAAACAACATTTTCTGTGTTCTTTGCATTTTATGGGACTGTAAGTATGTTCTGAAAAATACCTTGACAACTCTCGTTTGAGGGGATGGAAAGGACAAAGGCAGGGTAAAAAAGGCTAGAAGAATGAACTGAGTGTCTTCTGACATGTGGAAGGAGAGGTCTAATCAGGGGGTCCTAGGGAAATTTTTCTTGTATTGTAAAGATTCTGCTTCAGTATTTCTGTGAGTGCCTTTTTTTGAGTTGGAAGTAGTTTTTTCAGAAGTAACCCCTGTAGTATAAAAATTACCACAATAAAAGCATTAATCTACTCTTAATTCTTACATGTTCTTGTTGAGTTTAAAGTTTGTGGCAGCAGACTTCTGAAATTGATCCATTAATTAACATGTATTGTACTAGTTTCTGTTGCGTGTGCTCTTCCCATGGTAAGCATTTCAGAATAGTTTGTGACTTGAATTATTTTTTCTGTGGTGGTGTGTGTGTTGTTTTGTTTTGTTTTTCTTTTCTCTCATTAGAAGTCATGCTAGATGATTAGTGAATTATTTTTCCTGCATTATCAGATAGTTCAGGGTGAACTATAAATCATAGAATTGTTTTGTTTTGAAGAGACCTTTCAGATCATCAAGTCCATCAGTTAACCCAGTACTGCCAAGTCACTGATAAACCATGTCCCTTCAGCATCATATCTGTATGTCTTTTAAATATCTCCAGGGATGGTGACTCTACCGCTTCCCTGGGCATCCTGTCTCAATGCTTTACAGCCATTGTGATGAAGAAATTTTTCTTAATAGCCAACCAGAACCTCTCCTGACACAACTTGAGGCCATTTCCTCTTGTCACTTGCTACTTGGGAAAAGAGACTGACCCCTCCACCTGGCTCCCACCTCCTTTCATGCCATTGTAGAGGGTGATAAGGTCTCCCTTCAGTGTCCTCTTCTGCAGGCTAAACCACCCCAGTTCCTTCAGCTGCTCTGTGTAAGCCTTGCACTCTAGGCCCTTCACCAGCTTTGTTGCCCTTCTTTGGACATGCTCCAGCACCTCAGTGTCCTTCTTGTAGTGAGTGGCCCCAAACTGAACACAGTATTAGAGGTGTAGCCACCTCCTGTAAGTACATATAAATGATTATATGTATGTTCATTGGTGTAGAGTGTTTCAGCATAGCTTGGAATATTATACAGCTATACAATGAAAATAAATGTGAACGCTGATTGTTCTGTAGTTCCATTTCAAGAGTATGGATGGCAGTACAAGGTGTTATCTGTGCTTGACTTAATGAAAGGAATTTCTGTTTGTATGCAATGTGCTGATGTTTTTGCATATATCTCAATATTTTTATTATGCAGAGATTATTTCAAACAATTACAGTTGAAAGCATGAGAGCATTGCTTGAATCTGACAAAAGAGCGTTTTGTCTTTTGCTGAGAGAAAAACCCATGAAACCTCAAGTTTTTCTTCAGATTGGCCTCACCTAGGAAGGATACTGTGTTACTTGGCCTCATTACAAACTTCCTTATAAATGTGTAGTCCAAAGTAGTTTCTTTCCGTAATCATGTTGGAGATTTATTTAATTTTTGTATGCGTCAAAAAGAGCCTGAAGGAGTCTAAAAACATGTTTTCAGTTAAAAACTTCTTGATGAAACTGATTAAAAAAATCACAGCTGAATCTTACTTAATCTTATTAATGGATGGTGAAGCTGGAGTTGGCAGTGGGAAGCTGCCTGGATTTGGTCTAGAGAAGGGTATTCCTCCCTCTCCACAGGAGGTTCGCTTGTTTCTTGGTCTGGTTAATTCCTTGTATCTGTAAGAAGCCATTTAGTCAAGAACAGTTTGTGGTGTGGTTTTGGACGCCCTTGTATGTTGTTGCATTACACTGCATGATTAACTTTGTTTCAAAGAAATCCAGATAACTAAAGGAAAAAAAAAAAAGGGGCAGTCACATTTCCGTGTTTTACTGTTGTGTTTTTTTTTAAAAGAACCTCTCTTGATTTTGTTTGTTGCTTTTTGTTGTCTTTGTTTGATTGTTTTCATTGTTGTTTTAGTTTGTACAGGGTTAGATGTCATCAATTGTTAGAATTTGTGATGGTAAAGAAAGGAAGAGAGAGAAGGGTGTGAAGAAAGGGTGGTATTCATGAGCTGTGAGGGAGCTATGTGAGAGAACAGAGATGCTGATGGAGAGTGCAGAATCACATGACGGTTATTATATAAGGCAGGTTTGAAGCCAGACTGGAACAGTCTTACAAACAGGCAGCATGTCTGAAAATACTATGGTGCAGTGCAAATTTATGTGGTTGAAATAAGTGTTATGTATGTTCTTGTTTTATAAACATAAAACTTCTAGAAGGATTGTGAGAGATTTTAGTGTTTTTTGAGTATAGTTCATCTTCCTTGCATCACATTTTCAGTCTTTGCTACTTTGTTTTTTTACTGTTGTGTGGGGTTAGTAACTGAGCATGGTTTTCATGCATTGCTCATTATATGATATTCATTCTACAGTGCATCTTTTTTTTCTTCCTTCCATGATGAAAAGCACTCTACACTTCTTTTCCATTGATTTTCCTGATGGTCTGAAGTTTTTGCCATGTTGTTTTCAGTCAGAATTTGGTGCATGGGTTGTGGTTTTGTTGGTAATACAGTAAGCGTTTTGTTGAGCCTGTGGAATGAAAAGAGGGGGGAAAAAAAAAAAAAACAATTTCAGAAAATATATACTGAATGTCTCCCAATGATAAAAGTGAAGGTGAAAGGTTAGGAAGATCCTTTGTTTTGCCATTGACCAAGTCCATACTTCTTCCATTCTGATGAGATGCCACTTCGTTTCAAAGAAGTAATACCTGTACAGATAAGTTTTGAAAGAACTGAGATGCATCATGCTGCACGTTCCTAAATAGACCACTTCATGTGGTAATGTCCTTGGGCACCCACAGATCAACGTCAAAGATCCAGAAAAATTGCTGGGTTTCTGCAGTTCTTGCTCTATGCAGGCACTGTGATACCTTAACTCTACATTTAAAAAAAATTACTTGACTTGGCATCTTATGAAGTAAATACCTCAACTTGGATAAAACATGACATAAATAGAGTTCTTACATTCAAACAATTTTCTCAGTGCTTCCTCTTATGAGCCCATGCTAAAATAAATCTCCCTTATGTACAATGTGCTTCATTCTGATTTCTTTTTAAAACTCCTGTGTCAACGTGTTGGGGAGGTGAGGAGGACTGTGGGGGACGAATGGATAGGAAGGGCAGGTCAGGAGAGGGAGATAACAACTAGAACTGCAGTTTGTAGATTTTGATGCTACTGAGAAAATAAAGATATCAAGTGTAAATGTCTGCCATAGTTATCAGTTTTGACATATTCTGAGGAGGCAGGGTTAGAAGCTTAGCACAAAGTAAGATATTCCTGATTTTATCCAAACACAATGGCAGATATCTGGCACCTGGAAAAAGTTATTTTAATCATCTCATGCGGTTGTATTATAATGCTGTGGATAATATTGAACTTTTATATAATAAATTATATAAAGACTCGAGGCTGGACCCAAGTAGGGCTGTCCTAACAGAAATTTTGATACATGATTGAATTGAGTAGAAACTGTAGAAAAGTAGAAACCTTCCTCTGTACATGTAGTCTCTGTGAGGTTTCAGTACTTACTGGGGTGATTCCTAGGAGGGTTTTACAGAAGAACCTGGTCGTCCAGTAATTTGATTAGATCTCCTCTGCTCTGGCCTGACACTGCTACTGCAGCCCTTAGCAGTTTGATAATCTTGATTAAAGTGTATCTGTGGCCTTTTGCAGGTGAGTGAGTGGTCATATATTGTCCATTAGATATTTTGTGCCTATAGTTGTTGCAACACAGAATTTGAATAAGTGAAAGTTTTTGGTACAGGTATATTAGGTAGCAGCAAGCTCCCATATGCTGATTCCCTGCAGTGTTGCAGTGAGCCATCTATTACTGATGTCTCTGTGGTTGGGGAATGAATGTGTAGCTTTCTGGACGGGATTTTAGACAAATCCAGGGAATTGTGGACAGGTTATGAGGACCATGAGAAGAGCACTGCCATTTTACCTTATTCTGAGTGAATTAATTTATCAAAGAGAAGTATCTTATCTGTTTCCAAGGATTTTTATAAAAAGCTGTGTTCCATAGGAGTAACCGAGGGTACATAAGTACTTAAACATTTCTATCTATACGTGAGTAAGCTGGAGGATTTCTAGGGCACGGTATTTAGAAAGGCATGTAAGTGAACCTTAAAATGATGGAAATTGTGGT